TGGTCACAGACCCTTTTATGCCCTCTTCCTCTTTACTTCTCCCTCCTTCTTATCTCTCAATATATCCAAACACTTGAAAAGAAACTGCTGGTTGTTTGTCCAACATCTATTCTTTGCTTCCTTAAAACCAGAAATTTGAATCTTTTGTGGGGTGAAATTTTGGGTGATTTTGAAATTTGGGGGATGGCAATGTACCCAGTTAAAGAAAACTGCCTTTAGGAGGAGTGGCCAGACTAAGTTCTGGCCAATGAGATCCAAGCAAAAGTGTTGTGCAGTATTTCTGAGAAGGTTCCTCAAAAGCGAAGAGTGATTTTTTTCCCCCTCCTTCTTTTCTCCTGTCTGGATTGGGGATAAAATGACTGGAGCTTGAGCAGCCATAATGGACAATGAGGCAACATGCTATGTGTTCTAGAGCAGCAACTTGGGAGAAGTTTGGGTCTCTGGTGACTTTATAAAGTCACGCAATCAACACTGGTCTGCCTACCTTCAGGCTTCTCTTATGGGAGAGATAAATAAACTGTATTTTTTAAGCAACTGATATTATTTTTTTCTGTATTGCAACCAGAGCTAATCCTAACTAATACTATACCACTTACCTAACATGTAGCTTGACAAGTAGCTCCAGATAATGGGATGGAGTTGTATGGGTCAAAATATGAATATGGAGAAAAGTGAGCACTTAGAATATCTAAAACGTGGGGACTTCCCTAGGCAAGTAGCATGGGAATACCACTGTACTATATGAAGCTTCTTTTTATAGTAACCCCCATCAGTACCGCATCACATCTCTCAGATTTGCCTTGGTATCTTCAGGGCCTGGTCCAGTGCCTGAAACATAGGACACACTCAGTTAAAGTTTGTTGAAAGACTAAAGAGCTCATTGCCTTCATAACTGACATAATCGACAAGCCAGTTTAGTTGTTTGATTTGAAGGACTTTGGGAAAGCTCCCCTCTCATCGCCATCCAAAAATTTCTTCCTCAAGCCATCATCAACTGTCACAGCATCTGAAACTTACAGAAATTTATTTGCTGATCAGAATCTGTCAGGTAATGTGATCAGCTCTGATAGTAGTGGGCAAAACAGCTGCCCCCTGGGAGCTCCCAGTACAGTGAGGTAGAAAAAACAGACAAAAGTATGTGACCGAGTTGTTACAATCTGGGATAAGTGCAACAAAAGAAACAATAATGGGGGCCACTTCTTTAGATGGGGTTATGGGCGAAAGCCTCTCACAGGAAGGGAGACAACCAGGGGACAGGGGCAAACAACCATGCAAACAGAGAGGTGGAAGTGCTGGTGGGAGCATTCTGGACCAAGGGAACCATGCGCACAAAAGCTCTGATGTTTAAGGAATGAAAGAAGCTCCATGGGGCTGGAGCTCGGTAAGAGGGGAGGACTAATACTTGAAAAGGCTGAAGGATCAGCAGAGGCCAGATCGTGTAAGGCACTTGTAGGCCGTGGAAAGGAGTTTGGACTTTATTCTAAGTTCAGTAATAAGCCTTTGATAAGCTTGCAGCAAGGGAACACCAGGATCTGTGGTTTGGCATTAAGAAAATCACTGTGTCTGCTGGGTGGCATTGGACAAGCTCTAGTATGCAAGCAGGGAGACCAGTGTGTGAGGCTTTTGCTTCCATGGGAGAGATGAGAGATGAGGGTGGCTTAGACCAACTGGTAGTGATGGGACTGGAAAGAAGTAAAGAGTTTCGAGTGTGTTTTGGAGATTGAGTGGACCACACTGGGCAGTGGATGGGAGCTGAGGGAGAAGGAGGAATAAGGGTCCTGGTTTGTGCAGCTGTGTAGATGGCAGTGCTTTTCATGAGGTGGGATCCACTGGGGAGGTCAGGACTGACTTTGATCATGTAGATATGATGTACTTGTGAGACACACAAATGCAGCTGTTGAGGAGGCAGGTGAATATTTGAGTCTGGAGCTCAGGGGGATGTTTAGGACTGGACATATAAGCTTGGGAGTCATTGATGTGATGATGTTACTTAAGACCAAGGGAATAGATGGAATCTACCAGGAAGAGAGCATGTAGAGAAGTTAGAGCTGAAGCCAGAGGCTTCCTCTGTTAGAGGAAGAGCAGCCTGCAAAGGTGACTGAGAAGGGGCCATAGGGTTATCTATACACCACCCACCACCCCAAACAGAATGTTTTAGAAATAGCACCTCTTTTCTTCTGCCTGAAATCACAATCAATCAAGAGAGAAACACACATGAGTCAGACAGGAGATAGGAATGTTGCCTTTATTAATCATAAAGTTTCTTGGAGAAAGAGGAGCAGAGGTGCCTCTGAACAGACCTGCTAATATGAGCAGCCTGTCTTATCTGCTTTCTCCATGTAGAAACATGAAGTGAACTCCAGGAGCGCAGAGCCCGTGCCTGACCTGGTCTGCACCTAGCAGAGTGCCTGGCACACAGTAGGTGTCAGTTTTTGTTGAATGAATGGATCTGGATGTCTAGATTGAAACAGTGCTCACAGATCATCCAGGAATCACCTGAGGAGCTTAACAATGCCCATGTCCAGACCAATTTTATTAACATTTCTAGGAATGGGGTCCAGGTATTAGTATTGCATGAAACTCTTGCCGGGCAATTCCAGAACTGTTGCTCTGGACCAGTTCCTCACTTTACAGGTGGGGCCACCAAGGTCTAGAGCAAGAGGGTCATCCATAACACTAGAGGGATCATCTTGGCCTTGTTGCTGACTGTGAATGGCTGGGACAAAGTGGCTTCTCTTTTTGGGCTTCAGTGTCCCTCTCTGGGAACAGAGGATGTTGCGACAGTTGATCTCTAGAGTCCCGTCCAGCCCTAATGGCATATCGCAGGTGTGACTTAACTTACTGGGACCATCACTTGGGCCTCAAGATGCTTCTGAACAGCGGTTAGGTTTGTTTTGCAGTTGAAATGACTGGGTTCTGTATTGCAATGGACAGCAAAGGAGAGATGTGTGGGATAGTTCAGGACCTACAGAGCCAGTCTTTGGTGGAAGATTTGCCCTGTTTTGTCCTGGGTGGTAGCAGCAGGAAGTTCACCAGTGAAACAGCTGCAAAACAGCAGAAGAGCCCAGCTGGGAAAGGTCCAATGGACTGGGGCCACCCTTTTTGCTCACAATCTCATCCTCTAGTTCCTGCCTTCCCTTGCCCAACCCCTCCAAGTCATCTCTTTTTCATTCCCTTCCTACCCTCTCCAATCATCTGTATCAAGTCTCTCAAAGGTGAGCTCATTCCCTCTGCCTACCCAAGACGTGCATGCAACCCACTGACCTCCTTCCCATTTGAGTTTAGTGACCCAGAGCTTGTAAGGGTGGTGTCACAATATAGGCAACCAGAAGTGATGTGTGAATAGAAAGGGTTGGAGATGAGGCTGTAGGTGATGCCTTTTTGTACAAAATTGCATGGGGTGTTGTGGTGCTAAGCCACATTAGTCTTTAAAATGGCTATTTCATCAGCAACTTGATAAGAGCCCAATATGAGGATGAAGAGAATCTGTGGGCTAGAAGAGAAACTGAGGCCTAGAGCAAAGAGGTAATGTGTCCAAGACTCATGGCTAATGGGCCCTTCCTGGCCTGGATATTTACTCAGTACTTGGCTTAGAAAGGATCCTGGGTACAGCCACTTTGTTTTTCAAATTTGAAAACTGAGGTGTGGAGACACCAATGACTTGCCTACGGTCATAGAGCTTGTTATACAAAGATTAGGACTACACTCAGGACTCCCGACTCTTCTTGTTAGACTACCTCAGCTGCATCAGTTTGCCCCCTGAGGTGGCTTTATAAGATGGTAGGGCTCATGCTAAGGATTCTGAAGAGGAAACGTCCAAATGAATAGACAAAAAGATGAAATTAGAGAGATATCAAACTTCAGTGTTCCCTTGGGGCTTTTCCTATCTCTTTCTTTGATACTTCCCAGCTCCCCTTCCTCCTCCCTCACACAGCCTCCCTGGGGGTGGCCTCCACCGTGGCTCTGGGCCTTCTGCTTGGCCTCTTCTGCACCCCCTTCCTGGGGCACTTGCCTACTCACATCATTTCAGCTCTTGTGCCATGCAGACACGCCCTCCGACTCAACTGTGCTCCAGGCCTGGACTTCACATTTCTTTCCACAGCTGGTTCTGGGCTATTTCCATATGCAAATATGCTTAGCTCAGCCAAAAGTCAAAATTGGAATTCGTCTTGCTTCTAAGAATCCACAGCCTTTTCCTACACCCATTTCCTTCAGTGCTTCCTCAGACTCCCAATCCTCCACACTCAGAACTTTTAAGGTCCCCAGAGGCTAGGGGAGGTGGGAAGGGGGAGTTGGTATTGAACAGGTCTAGAGCTTCAGTTTGGGAAGATGAAAAAGTTCTGGAGATAGGTGGTGGTGGCAGTTGCACAACAATGTGAATGTATTTCATTCCACTGGACTGTACACTTACAATGGCTAAGACGGTAAATTTTATGTTATATATATTTTACCACAATTAAGAAAACACAAAACAAAAACTTTCAAGTCATCCTTGACTCATGGCTACTCTGCTCTCTCCTCCCCAACTCGCTTTGTTACCATGTCATGCTGAGTTTGCGCTTAGTGGAGGTTCCTCAGATGTTCACATCCTGCAGCATCACCGGGGCGGCTTGTGAGTTATCGATTCCCAAGCTCCTCTCCCCTCTTTAGTCTGGAGGTGGAGCCTAGAACTTGCATTTAAACAAACTTAGCGACAAACCCGATATGGACAGACACAGACCACACTGGGAGAAACACGGCCTTTCAGCGTCTTGTGTTGTCCCTTTGTCTCCTTTCTGTGACCCCTTTCCCTACCCCGGCTGGCCCGCATCACCTCACACCTGGGTTGCAGTAACAGCTGGCCTGTCTTCAGCCAGCCTTTCTCTGCTTCAGCCTCTTCAGCTGCCAGGACCCATCTTTTGCAAATATCTTTGGCATCACATCACTTCCCTGCTCTGAAGCCTACCATGGCTCCCTCGGACCTATTAAATCCTGTCTCAATTCACTTGGAGCCAGCCCAGTCAGCTCCCATCCTCCCTCTTTCCTCCTCCCCTCGCTCCCATCCTTCCAGGCTCATTGGTCATTTCTAATCTTATATTAACCCCTCTGCTAGTTAGGGGCTGTTTGCTTTCTGTCTCTCTCCTCACTGCCCCAGGAACACTTCTGCTATACAGGAGGAATTATTGCAACTGTTGAGATTCTTCATCCTGTTTTTCCAGGTATCCACCTCCCTGCTCTCCCCAAATCCCGGCTCTGCCATACACTTGCTATATGACTTTGAGCAAGTTGCTTCACTAATCTGTGCCTTAGAGTTCTCATTTTCTTGTCTGTGAAATGGGGATCTTAATGGCACATCCTCATAGGTTTGAGGAGAGGATTAAAAGAGGCAATAGAGGTAAAAGGGATCAGAACAACATCTGGCCAAGTAAGTGCCATGTAAGTGTTAGCTATTATTACTAATTATTGTTATGGTCCCTTCCAGCCAGCTCCTCCCTGGAAACCACGTCTGCTTGGAATAGAGAACTGATGGAGCTCTCTGCTAAACCTTGCCTGATCTAGTGGAGGTGGTTAAGTATTAAGTATTTGGGTTCCAACAAGCTTCTCTGCATGAGACAACCTGAATAACTGGGCTGTCTACAAAACTCTAATTATGTCCATTAATTTTCTAACCAACTAGGAGGAGATGAGGTGAGATCTGAAAGCATGTTTTTTCCAGAATAAATAGAATGATGTCAGGACAACTTCAAAATACCATAAGGAACAGCAGTTTGTGTACCTACTTTCTCTTGATCTTTCTAGAATGCTCCTCCTACAGTCCAGGTCCCAGTGGCCCAACTTCCTCGTCTGCTGACTCCCTGGGTTCCTCATGGGAGCCTAACCGGAGCACCTTCATATGTGGCAGTTCCCAGCCAGAGAGCTGTGCACCTTGCACCCAGCAGTCCTTGTCTGTAAATAATCTACCACCCACATTTCTGTTCTACTTTTCAAACCCACTTCTATGCTATTGTGGCAAATACAATAAATTCCTTTAAAAGTCCCACTGAATTCAGTCACTGCTTGTCATTATGTGTTTCTCTTTCCCCTCCCCCTCAATGAATACTGTCAGTTCAACTACTAACGGGCTGGGGGAGGTCTGAGAATATTTTTGACATTGAAAAGAGGCCCTTGTTGTCACAAAGGCTGGGGACCACTGCCTCATGGAACACGTAGGAGCCGTGGGTGCAGCGCTGAGCTCTGTTTTCTTGTCTGTCAAATGGAGGTAAATCATAAGGGTCTGTTTTTCTAACAGCAGGAAACAGAATATTTTGCATTTATGAGGAGGGGGTGGCCGAACAGTGTCTTGTCCAAGTGTGGGGAGGGCTGCCAAGGGGATCGGGTGAGATAACAGCTAGCGGGAGCCCTGGGTGAAGGAGCATGCCCAGGCAGGGAGGCCTGCTTCTTGTTCTTTTCCTTGCTCTGGATCTAGCTGCCCCAGCTGGGTCCAGAACTCCACAGCCTGTGAAGGGCTTTCCAGGAGCAATGTGTTCTTTCGCCTTTCCCCGCCCCTACTTGGTTTTCTGTGGAACAATAACAAAAGAGCTGCTCCTGTTAAGTGACTAGCAAACAGCCACAGAGTTCCTCTTATCTAGTCTAGCAGCTGCTGTGGCCTCAGAGGGTGCAGTGTTTGTCTCTGTTTAGTCAGGGTTGCCTAGGAAACAAAGTTGTTCTTGTTTCTCACAGTGTGACTGTGGGCAAGTATTTTCCCTTTTCTTGCAGGGAAGGGCTGGATAAGCAGAAAGGGCTGTGTGTTTGCTGGACCATCCTCTGGCTTTCTGTTTTTCTTCTGTTAGTTCTTGCTTGGCTGGAAATCAGTGGGGGACATCTCCAGATAAGCTGAAGAGTTGAGAAGTCCTCTCAGTTTGTCCGGATGTGGGGAGGGGCTTGGGAGTAAGTGGGGACTGGGGACAGTTGGGTTTGGGTTGGGGCAGCTGCCTGGTCCAAAGCTTATAGCTGCTCCAGCAGCTGTGAAATATGCACACCATGATCAAATTGGCAGGTGTAGACAATGAGTAGAGAGGTTAGGAGCAGGTGAGGAAATTGGGATTTGGGAGGCCAGTCAGTAGGGGTTTGCAATGTTCTGTAGAAGAGTTTTGAGGATTGGAAAGAACAGGCCAAAATATGTTATTTTTACAGCAAAGGAAGCACAACACTTCGAATATATTGGGGTAGTGACCGGTGCAAGGGAGGGGGCTGAGTCCCTTTGGTCCTTGAGGTTTGTGGCTCAGGAAACAAGGAATTCAGTTAAATTTTAAGTGACAAAGGAACAGCCATATGCTGTAGGAAGCTGAGCTTGAGTGGGCTCACTCACATAGCAGTGGTGCGCTCCCCGGGGAATGAGGCAGGGCTCAGAACACAGCTCAGGGGCCACTGTGTCACATGAAAGCAGGAGCAGGGCAGACAGGGATGGATGTGGGTTGAGTTCCAATTTGCCATAGTAGTTGTATGACTTTGGGCACGTCACTTAAACTGGCTGAGCCTCAGCTTCCTTACAGGTACAATGGGGGTGTTGTGATGGTTGTGCAAGATCGGGGATGTAGCGTAGGCCTGCCACTGAGGTGGTGCTCAGGAATATACAGCAGGTTACAAAACAGCGCCCCCAACCATGGCAGGCACCCCCCCCCCCACTTCCACTTATATTCAGACACCAGGCTTATTTTTAGAAAAAAAAGAGCAACTTTTATTGAAATTTCAAGCTACACTTAAAAAACCAAAATCCAAATCCTGGATACACACATCAAGATAAGGTATCAGGAAATGGAAAGTGTTCACACTGCCACAGAACCCACTAGACACAAGCTCCCTGAGCACACCACCCAGGCACCATTGGGTCAAAGCCATCCCCCTCCATCCCTTGCTCACAAGAGGACACGAGCAAGTTAGTCATTCTGTTCACTTGAAAGTTTTCCACAAACATAAACAAAAAAGTTTTCAAATGACAATGTAAAGTCTCAGCCCATCTTCTCTCAACCCCATTCTATGTAGTCAGCACCAGTGAATGGTGGGGTTGGCATTCAAAAGAGGACCTTACATGTCTTCAGGGGACAGATGGGCGAGGGATGCAGCAGCAGCAAGGTGTTCATGGCCGCATTCAGAGGCTGGCTCCCTACCTGCCTTTACTCTTTATTCTTACATAGCCTAAAGGTGATACTGGATCAACTTGGTAAATGAACACTGATCAAAGAATTAGCCTTAAGAGGTAAGGGACCAGTCAGTACTCCCAAAGCTGGTTGGGCTCTTCAACATGTAGGTGTATGTGTATTTGTATACAGCACTACACTAAGATATAGATCTAGCCCTATGGGTATATATATATGCTTTTATGGCTATATAGAAAAACTATGCCAATACTAACCAAACAGAACTTTGCAAGCGGTCATCCCAAAGCTGTAATCCCACACTAGGCTGTGCACCAAGCCATGCATTATACCATATTAACCAATAGAAGGCTGACTTGGCTCAATCCCTCCTGTCCCCGGCCCTGCCTTGGGAAGGCAGGAGAGATGAGAGAGAGGTTGCCTCTGCTCGAAATACAAGTGGCTTCATAGAACGGTCATTGTCAGGTGAAGCTGTTGAAGATGTCGATGGAAATGAAAACAGACCCCTTATACTTTCTGGTGCAACCTGGCTTCCTCTCTCAAACTACCTTTCTCCTTTGCCAGTTGTGTGAAGTTGCCCAGGCTTTGGGAGCTCTCAGGGCGCAGTGGCATTAGAGGCTCACTGGCTTGGGGTGACGAGGCCCCATGCAACTCAGCCTCCAGAGACCTGTTCTTTGTCAGGGGTCTGTCACTGGAGTGGGCCCGGGGGGACCACATCCTTGGGACATCTCTTGGCACCAGCTATACTAGGTGTAAAGTTCTCCACGTGAGATGACGCTTGGGGAGCCAAAAACAAACTGGGAAGAACTAGGTAGAACAAACTTAGTGGCTCTGCCCACCCCGAGGACAGAGCCACTTACACCGGAGAACCACCGGAGGCCTCGGGTGCTTGTGGGATCTTGGGAACCGGCTCTTCGGAACTCAACCGGGACTGGAATTTCTCCAGCTGCTCTGGGCTGGCCAGGGTCTTCAAGAGGGTGTTCTCATGCTCCAGCTGGGAGTTCTTCTCCACCAGCTCTCGGATCTGCCCCTTCAGGACCTCCACCTCCTCTTTTACTGCATACATCAGATGGTTTTTCACCAGATCCTGCCACCAAGGAAATCACAACAAAGCCATTCCTTAGCCATCATGGCCCCTCTGTGGCACATTTGCCCTGCCACTGGAGTGCCTGCACTGTCCCTCATGCCACCAACCTCCAGTATTCCCTCAGCAGCCCCTCAGCATGCTGGCCCTGCAGCCATTTCCCCTGTGCCTCTCCCGGAAGCACTGCAGCATGGCTCAGGAGAGCTGCGTGACTGGGGTCACACTTGTGCTGGGAGCCCAGCTTTGAATTACACAGACTCCCCAATGCAAGTTTTTGCTCACTGCCGAAGCTGGCCATGGAGCCTTTCAGAGGCAACTTCTGCTGGTTGCTGGTGGTCTGCTATACATCTCTATTGCCACCTGAGGCCCTATTGCTGGCCCAGAGCCCAGGGAGCACCTGCAATGCACCGCATTACAGTCTGTCTGCTTTACACAGCTTCACTAAGAGAGTAAAATCAGCTCTTTTGGAGTCCTCTCCTCCCCACATGACCCAGCATACTGAACAGTAGCCTGGCTGGGCAGGACACTGGCCCTGGGGGAGGCATTGGGATTGCTGCATCCTCTGAATCTGATGACTATACTGGGGGCAGGGAACTGTCCTTAGGCTCCAGGGCACAATTAAGTGTTTTCTAACTGCTGGATGCCTTAAGTCCCTGCAGCCATTATGGCTGCTCAGTGGAGTATGACCTCTATCTAGTAAGGACAGGGAGAAGGGGTGGGTGCTTTCCTTCCTGTATCCTCCCAACTCCTGACCCCAGCCCAGGCTCTGCAGAGGCACTGCAGTGAGGTTGCATCCAATGAGCTCTGGCCCCTGACAAATGCGGGATGCAGACAAACGCCAAGGGCTTGAGCTTCCTACCCGGCGCGGGGACCCAGGAGTGAGCCAGAGGCTTCTGTGAAAAGCCCTGGGACAGGAGATGGAAGAGGAAAGGAGGGGATCCAACAAGGGTGGATTGGAAATGCCCTAAAAGGTAGCACTCTGATGGGACTCTATGTATGGCTTCCAAGGGAACAGGAAGCAGACTGTTGGGTTCCTTAGGCTCCTGGCTAACAGCTTTTGCACCCACCCCCTCCGTCCTGCCCTGAGTTACATAAGCAGCATTTAGGTTTGGGAATGGGAATGACGCAGTGATGCCACTCACCATGGCCTGCTCAATCTTGTTGTCTAGGGCCACCACACTGGCTCCGGAGGCACTGCCAAGACAAAAAGCAAAGAGACCATGTTACACACTCGGTCCCACTCTGACTACCTGGCAGCTGTGGCCAAAGTCCTCCATCTGCCCCAGCCTTTCCTTTCTCCTACCTCCCTGGCAGGGAGTTCCGGGGCACTTTGTCCCCAGGTCCCTCCCCAGCCCCTGCAGGAAGCCGCACCTCCCCACCCAGGCTGGCTCCCCGCCACCCCACCGCCGCCCAGAGCTCCGCGTGGAGCGGCAGCGCGTGGATCCCGGGGTGCACGGGCCAGCGTGGCCTGCTCGGCCAGCCTGGGCGACACGCGAACAATGGGGGCGCGTGGTCCCGGGAGCTCCCAGCCGCAGACCCTTTCCGGCGCCGGTCCTGAAGGTCCGGGCAAACCTACCGGGCTCTGAAGCTACCTAGGAATTCCTTCTCGGCTCGGAAGCTTCCGGCCTGCTCCCCAACTGCGCACGGCGCGCGGCCAGCCCTCTGCCCAGCCTTGCCCGGCCCTGCCCCACTGCCCCTCTGCCTCTGCCTCGGGCTGCAGCAGCTCGTCCGGCGCAGCGGCCGCAGGGACGCTCCGACGGCGGATCCCAGCGCAGCGGTGACCCCCC